TAGAAATCATCCAAACTATGCTTTGTAATTACTACAAAACACATTCCCTCACATAAGATTTATTTTAAGCTATCTCATTAAGAATCACTAAAATTATTAATAGTGATGTTTTAAAACATATCATTCATGGTGACTTAAATTTGCATAATATGAGAATTAAAGGGCTTTTTTACAGGATAAAAATAAATCAATTTTTTAGCTTCTTTCCAACCCCAAAATGTTAAAAGTGACATGGGATTTAAAAAGCACAGCACATCAAGACAGTTGCACTGAAACCAAATAGTCTAATTCATTTGAAAAAATGAAATGTTTAAATAGCAAGAATCACTTACATACAGCCTTAAAAATAAATGAAAAGAAACGCATCCATACACACAAGCAAAAGAATTAGTGATAGCAATTTGTTGGAGGTTTCCTAAGTCACCACCCATGAAGCCATTGAGAAAATGAAGTTTCAAGTTCAGCATCACAATCTGGCTGCCAGATTGCCTGGGCAATCATGACGTTTTTAATACTCTGGCTTTGGAGCCTTATTGCACTTTGGTCCTACAAACATACAGCTGCAGACAAACTGGCTTGTCCTCAGAATATACCTTGCACGTTTTCACCTCCCATCACTAATATGCACACAAATGAATTGCCCTCCAGATTCCTTTCACCTTATTGTAATTCCACCCAGTTTTCAAGGTCAAGTTCAAAATCTCTCCCATTATTTTTCTGTAAAACCTTCTGGGGTTATTCCTATGCATCATGTCTGGTGAAACAGCCCTACGATTATGAGGACGGTCTCTGCCATGCCTCCCAAGACACTTTTCATAATCACCAAAATGTGGCAACCTTAATTGAATCCTCTCCTAGCATCTCTGACCTCTCTGGATCCCACACTTTTATGGAATAAATGCTAAGGTCAAGATCTTTAATGGTGCCCTAGAACTATGAGGACTTTCAGAGGTATCACCATTCATTTCCAATGGGGTGAGAATTAGATGAGTTATAGCCTTAGACTGGATACGGTTTCCATAGGACATAAAACAAAACAGGCACAGTCACAAACATGTGAGCAAGAACTTTTCAGCTGCTTGACAAAATTATTCACTAAAATAACCTAAAGCCAAATCCCATCATTCATATCAGTTCCAATAAACTTTTCTAAGAGACTCCTAGTTTTGAAGCAACTGGAGCCTCAGAGAGTCTTAGGTCACAGCCAAAGAGCAGCTTGTAAGCAAATGAACCTTTACGGTGATGACACCGCACATGTTAGTATTGTACTCATGAAAGCTATTGACTTAGGATGGAGACACTTAATACATGTCATTGATTCTTTCATTTGCATGCAATTATTTACTCCTCAAGCAATACTAGTAACAAATTGCACCAAATTCATTTCCTAATAAAATACTATCTGCAAGCAACTCTCAGTTTCCACTTGCTGTATAAATAGGTTTTTTACTGTATTCAAATGTAGTTCCCAGAAAATTCTTCTAAACCCAACTGTAGAATACATCAGTCTATTTTTGGTTGCCGGTAATGTTAATAAATTTTGTGACATTAAGTCTTTACACAAACAAATTATTTGTTTAAAAACCATGCTTCAGTTGAAAAACTGACCTATTGCAATAAAGTTGGTTAGACTTCTAGTATCCTTAGTATCAAAGCAGGAAAAGGTTTCAGTGATAGGCTATCATTAAAATTTCTCCACTATACACACAAGCATAGACACATAAACAAACATGGGTGCACACAGTTGCACATTTCATTTTAATAAGTTTATGTTCTCACAGTTCACAAATATAATCATATTTGTTTATTTGTATATCTTAGAATACTGTTTCCTAGTCATTCACTCCCAATCCCCCTAAATGCATTTCACTAACACACATGTCAGCCTCCTGTCACTAGAGCCAGGGTAAGAGTAAGGAATGCTCAAAGAAATCTTGTGATTACTCTATGGACAGGTCTTTTAGTAATAAAGTAATGCTACCACTCATCAAAGATGGTTACTTTGACTAGGGAACCCAGAACCCAATGCCTATAACTCTTGGCACCAGGGACTGGGGCTGAATTCTAATGCTAAGTACTTTTGAAAAGTGCATCAGAATATAATAGGGAGAATTTCCAGACTTGATTAGAGTTTTAGCCACATAAATTCCATTAGGTTCAAAGCTTCATAATGCTCCACCCTGTCTATAGTTATGCTCATGTTTTGATCCACACCTTTCTGAGCTCTTTGTTAGGCTATCTAACCTCTTACTTCTTTCCTCGTATTTTTGGCTTTCATGTTACCCCTGGAGTCTGTTTATTCTCCTGACTTTAGGGCACTAAGCTTCTCTACCCCTCTTTTAAATCCTTCCTTGAGACCTGTATTTTAAAATAAGTACTTCCTTCACTGATCTTTTATGATTACTTTATTACACCTGGCCCGTTTTCCTATATGGCTCTACCAAAATCTATTTGTACTGTCCATCACCGAAGGCTGCGAGCAGTGCACATAGACTGCTTCTTGGATCATCTGCAGAGTTGATGACAGCTCAGACTCTCTTTGGAAATGTAACTCTCAATGGTGTGCCAGAGCATTGAGCAAAAACATAAAGTCACTTCTGAATCTGGGTCAGCCATGCTGTAAATGTATAAGAGAGAGGATTACAACAGAGCAGATCTCACTGACACAGTGACCTGTCACTCCACTAATGAGGTATGGACAGGGGCTGACAGACCTCTTGTTCGGCCAGTGGTACTTGCAGACCAGTTCTGAATGATGGCACTGCCATATAAGGAGGGAACAACAAAAGACACCAATGCAAGAACAGGGACAAAAACTACATCCCAGCGTCCCATTACATTCCTTTTTCAAAGCATATTTCTTTTTGGTTTATAAGTATTATAATGTTATTAAGTCATCCAGTGGAAATTGGGATTCAGGTTTCCAAATGACTGTTTAAAAGCAGAGTAGAATAAGGCACAGGAAGACAGAGTACAGTTAAAGAAATAAAATTGAGAATGGATTTTCTAGCAATTGTTTACCTTTGTTCACATTATTTGATTAACATTGTAGCTTAGAAAATGTAATCAAGTAACCGTTTTTGAAATGTATTCATTCAACAATATTTATTGAGAATATACTATGTGCCAGGCATTTGCTAGGCACTTGGGATACAGAGAAGAATGAGATATTCCTTGCTCTCTAGGAGCTCACAGCCTAGTAGCAGAGATAGACACATAAACAAGTAACTATAATACAATGAAAAAAGTACCTGTCAAGGTGTATACAAGGTGCTAAAGGAGCCCAGAAGAAAGTTTGTAATTAAGCCTGATGAAATCAAGGAAGCTTTCACAGAGAATGTGGCAACTGAGTAGACTTGAAGGAGAAACAGGATTTCACCAGGAAAAAAAAAGGGAGGGTAGGGAAAGACATTGTATGCTGAAGAAACAGTACGCACAAAAACAAGGAAGTGTGATAAAGCATGCTATAATAGGAAACCACATGTGGTTCCATATGTCTGGGATTTCATCTGTGTATGAACAGTGGTAAAATATGAAGTCAGAAAGGGAGAATGAAATCAGAGAGTGAAGAGCTTTGTATGCAGGACTAAGAAATCTGGACTTTTTCCTGTAAGCCATAAGACATTGAAGAATACAAAACAGGGAGTGACATAACCAGATCTGCCCATTAGATCAGCCTGCATGGAGGATGGTTTGGAAGAAAGGTGAGAATAGAGGGAGGGAGACCTGGTATCAGGGGCTATCACAGCAGTCCAGGTGAGAGATGTTAATGGGCACTTCAAAGGCAGTGAGGGTGAAGAGGTGAAAGATTGGGGAGATACTTAGGAGGAAGCTTGACAAGACTTGAATTATGATACAAAAATCAAACCTTCCTCAGAAATGAAACAATAAAACATGCATTCATAAAATACAACCAACAGCTCCAGTCCTCCTTTCCTTTGTGTTCTCATAATCCTCCAAAATCACAGCATCTGCTGAGTATGAATAAAGGAAGAAAAGCCAGAGGACACATATGGTCAGACTTCTCTAATTTAGACACCACTAAATTGGAATCTGCAACAATATAGACTGTCTGTGACTCTTATTAAGAATTTTAACCTACTTTCTTCCTCCATGCCTTTTCAAGCTTCTAGTCACCAGTAACAGGAATCCAATCTAAAAGCAGTGGCTTCATTGAATCAAGCACTTGAGGTACAGTAGGCAGCAGCTTACATGATGGTATCTGAGGGGCACCTAATATATGTCCACTACCCAGGGGCCACAAGGCCTGAGATCCAATCATTAGCAATTCATTCCTTTAGGAGAGGCTTTGCTCCCTCAGGACTTCTCCTTTACAAGGCAATAATTCCTGAGATGGGTAGGGCATTTAGTCATTCTAAACCCAGTGGAATTCTGGTTGAGCATAATGCCTTTGATTTTCATAGAAGGGCTCAAGGTAGTGATGCAAAAGGAAAGACTGAGGAATGTAGAAGATGACAATAAGGTCTTACTAAGGAGTAGCCCTGCAAGCACTCGAGAAGCTAAGATTCTTAAAGAATACCTTCCACTTCAGGTTCCAGCAAACCACACTTGTACATTCTGTACCTTAAGTAACTTCTGTGTTTTGTTTATGATATGCTATTGGTTAGTCAGGCCTATGGTGACTCACAGTCTTTTCATGGGCCTCATACTGCTTATGACCAATTAAAATATCCAGTGGTGTTATTAAATTTGTACATACTATTGCAAATGTATTGTCTGAAACTACTTTATAATTCCAACCTTTCATTCACTCAGACTGACCTTGTCTTTCGTCATTCCAAGTTATAGAGATTTTACTGTGTTTGCAGAGTGTTAATCAGTCAAATCACAAGTGACAGATCAAGACTCAGACTCTGACCTTGAAGACTCTCATTTATGGCTGGAGAAGGTAAATAACAGCTATCTGTGAATACTTGATTATAGAGGTTATCACAGTGAATTAAAAAAACACAACAAAACAAAACTTTAAAATTACTTACTTCACTTGTTTGGAGAATCGTGAACTTTGGCAGTTTAGTCTTTGAACTGGATGTGCTGGGTTTTCCATCCAAGAGTGATCCAAATGCCAGATTCCCAAAGCTGTTCTCAAATTCAATTGAAGGTTTCAGTGTTGGAGAGACTTCTGGTGTCTGGTCCTGGCCATCCATAGGTCTGACATACGCAGTTGGTTTTTGCTGCCCCATGCTTGTTTTACAGTAAAGCCCTGGTGGGAAGTTTTGAACTGAAAGGCCACCGCTAGGAGCCAATAAAGAGGAGGCAAGTAAGGGAGACCCAGGCACTTGCACTGTAAATTCAGATGCTTCTGGTGAGTTGGTTTGAAAGATTTCTTTGAATGTATCACCTCCACTGGACTTGAGATAACTGTCTTCTTTTACTGGTGGGTTTGATTCCTCAAGTGCTCCAACTTGAGGCTGCTCAGCTGGATAAACAAAGAAGTCTTCCAGTCTAGCTTGGGGCTGGTCCTGTATAGATGGCTGCATCTTGTTTGGCTGATTACTGGCCTGGCTGGCTGGTACAATGCTAGTGTTATGGCTATCTCGTGGCCAGTCAGGTTTGGATTTCCTGTTGCTATGTATTAGAGTTGAATTCAGTATCACAACAGAAGGTGGAGGGATTGGTGCTGAGGGGTGAGTATTATCCTGGTGAGGTGGGATCATTCGGTCCTTTTGTTCTGGGAAAAAGCTTGGTTCATTTTTGTTGATGGGAGTCTGGGGTATGGAATTCTTTGGGATTCCCACTAGATGATTCTGATTAGAATGGTTAGTTAACAAATCCTTCATTTCATCATAGTTTCCCAGTGTGCTCTGGACTCTGTTGGCAAGTGCATCACCTTTGTTTGTCTAAAATAACAAAAAGATGGGGGTGGGAGGAGAGAGAATGAATAGGTTTGTGTTTTGTAATGTTAATGTTTCAAACAGATGTTCTAAGTAGACTAGCATATAGAGTTATATAAAATTCTTATGGTGCTATTCATACTTTTCATGTGCTATGTAAGAAAAAAAATCAATAACACTATTGAAATAGTCTCTTGAAATGAACTGTGTGATTAATATTTGTATACTCCTGGCCTGTCCTTAAACATGTTCATTGGGAGAAAGTTTTAAATTATGTTGTTTATAAATTTTATTAGCAAAATAACTTACTTTATATCAGTTGAGCCGAACTGTTACATTCTACATTGTCATTAAAAACTTCTGCTTACTGATCATTGGAATTATAAAGGATTTATAATTATACAATGAAAAAGGCTTATCCTCATTCTATGGATAGCAAATATACCAGCTATCCCTGTAGGATATACTAATCTTATTTAAATTGCTGTGATTGTTTTTTAAATAATTAAATTCCTGTATATTTTTAATATAGAAAGCACAGCCTTTCATAACTAAAAATAGTGGTGAGCTCAGCTTCTCAACTTTGAAAGTCAGTATTTATTATGCTCTTTACCTGCTAAAGATGTTATCAAAATAAGTTGTTGAATTCAGAAGGGCAAAGCATTTCTTTCTGCCTAGCCTTCACTATTCTTGCCCAAGATGTTGCAATGAAACAAGGCTACTGGCACCCATGTATGCATGTGACAGCAGGGCCATTGGATGGATGGGGAAGACACCCACCCTGTGTAGCCTTTATGCCCCAGGAACCATAGCCTTGTTCTCCATGCACAGGAGGGGGTGACAACTTCCACAGTGGTAAATCCTCTACTGAAGCTATATGTTTAACATTTAAGCTTTCTCACAGGCCCTTAACACTGCCCAGTCTCTTGGTACACACAGAAAGTGTGCTTATCCAATTCTGGTATCTCGGTCTAAACCTAGGCTGTATGGTTGTGTGCTATTCTCTATATGTGAAGATGGGAGAGTGTGAAAATGGAGAGTGAAGTGCCAAAAATGGATAAAATCACCCAGGGAAAGAAAATGTAGAAAGATAAGATCAATTTCAGGAGAGAACCCTGGAAAACATCAACCTTTAAGAGACTGGAAGAAGAAGAGTAGCCAGAAAAAGATACCAAGAAGGAACAACCAGATAGGGAGTCAAACTGGAAACCTTGGCTTTGTTATTAGTATGATCTCCATATGTTGTATGTAGGATTCAACTCATACCATATGTTAAATTACAGAAGGCACTTCCAAAGAAATAAAGGCAGTTTGGAAAATATGATTTCAAAGATTAATGAAAAGTATGCTAAATATATGCTAAGAGAGATCTGTGGGGGAATGGGGAATTTTAGAAAACAAATACATATATGTCAATTTAGGTTTCTTATCTTCAAAAAACATCTTATATTGCATTAGATGCAACCTTGGTGCTGAAGTAGTGATTTAACAATTAATATTTTATATAATCCTCAGCTGAACAATTGCTCCATTTTTCAGAAGTATATTTGAAAGGCATATTTAATAGATAAAGATAGGTAAAAATCACCCTTACTCCCTAAAGGCCCTAGGTTTGTCAATTTTAATGGCAGAAATTACTTTTCAGCTAAGACAAGAATAGACTCTTTGTATACATCTGTCTCTTCTTCAACAGCAATGAACTATTTAGGCAGCAGCCAAAACCAGTTTCTCTATTCAATCCTTAAATTCAGAATAAAAACATTTTATTGAGCTGAGGGCTCCATAAGAATTTGATGCAAGGCATTGTTCTGGCCCCTCAAACTGTTTACTTCAAAGGTTAAATGACCATTTAATAAACACTAATATCTTCAAGGATTTTACCCAACAAGGGGAAACAACCACTTAATTTCCCATTTTAAATGCTTTCATTTTACATTGTCTCATTCACTGAGTTAGAATATGCTTCTTTATATCAGGCAAAGAGAATTCTATAACCTATGAGCTTTTCCTTTTTGCCTTAGCTACCAGGAAGCTCAAAGTTTAATTTATTGAATTTTCGTTTAAATTTTACTTGACTTATTGAAAATTCATTGAATTTTCATTGAAACAGAGTTCTACAAAGTCAGAACCTTGCCCCATGCTGTCACAAACACCACTAAAATACCTCAAATCCCTAAGAAGTAATTCATTCTCTCTAGGCCAACCACATCAAGAGTCAAGAATATCAAGGCCCATTTGCTTGCAAGCAAGCTAATCATATTCCTGTTCCTGTTCAGCAGTAAATAAAAGGAACAGGTTCATCTTTACTTCAATGGAGAGTGCCTTGGTTAGGTTTTAATGTGAGAAATGGTGGACAGAACACCAAACCAGACTTGAGCTCTGGCTTTGCCCCTTACCATTCTGTAACCTTCGGCACATTATTCCACCTTTACCACATTTCCTCAAATGTAAAACAGAAATAAGAATAGCAGCAAAAAAATGTCTACTGTTCATTTATGTCTACTGTTACAATGATCTGGGTTTCTGATGCATGCTTAGATGTATTTTTACATCTCTAGGTTTTAAAATAAGCTTAAAATTAGGAGAAGTCCTAAACTGGCCAATGTCTAAAACTGTATCTACATGAATAAAATTAGAGGAAAATTGAAACTTCTCTAAGTAATTGTAGAAAATCAACCTCCTACAATATAGACTATTCTATAGTTGTGATTTCTTTCCTGCACAAAAGTATGCACTCTTAAAAGTCAGTGACCACCTTTTATTTAATTTTCTACCTTCAAGACTTAGCAACATGTATGGCACATATTAGGTACTCAATAAATTGTTGAATTGAACAGAATCAAGTTATAATTCACACCTTGCTTATGTCAAAATAAAAGATTTGGAGTAAAAGGCATGTAAATAGAAAAGCAAAAGTGAACCTAACTTGGTTACTGTGATTGAACATTAAACTGAACTCCAAGCTTCTTGGTAGCTAAGGTAATAAGGAAAAGCTCATAGCTTATAGAATTATCTTAGTCTGATAAAAAAAAAAAAAAAAAAAAGAATACTTTAATTCATTAAATGAAACAAATGATTACCAGATATTAAAATATGAAAAGAAATTCTTCTTATTGGTTTGGTTATAAGAACCTTTCAACAATAAAACAGTTCAGTGCTAATTTTACAGAAAATGCAAAGATGTCTTCACATGGCTTTTCCTTATGATGACTAAAAAACAAGAGCATTGCATTCAAATCTAACTCAGGGAAGGCATGTCTGCACGTGGAGTTATGGGCTAGGCTAATAGTGGCAATTGAAAACACTCACGAGACAGAGTTAGGTAGTGAGGACACACAGACACATAGCCTCAGAACTCCATCATTCAATGATCTCCAATAATGAACAGTAAAGTCAAAGTGGCCAGAGTCAACTCTCTGTTTTCCCACCATTGGAGGTAGGTAACTGTAAACCAGTTTTTAAATATCTTAAGATGTCTATTTGAGATCCACTGGATAGAAAACTCAAAGGGGCCTGAAATACATTTATATACACCTAAACAATGTACTCTTATTATACACTAGAGTAACTTCTGATTCACACTGAAGGGTTTTTTTCACCCTCCAGAGTCTTAGCAATCCTATTAAGGAACAAGGTATTCTGGGCAGTCTTGATTGAACATTATAAAAATGGCAGAAATGAAATCCAGCCATTTCAATCAATTACAGGCTTCTTTCAATTTTTGCCAATTCTTTACTTCCTGTTCTAGATAATTGGTTGATTCCTTAAAGGTAACCTCTGCAGCCATTATTTTCTGAGTAATCACAATTTCTCCATCATCAAGGAAATGCATTTTCCAAGTATTTTCAGGCATAAATTACATGTCTGGTTTGCAGCTCATGACTAACAGCTTTCCTTCATGTAAGCTGTGCCTCTCATTACTTTAGGAAATGCAAAGTTGCCTCAGTGTGCTTCTAATGCTGTCTTCAAATCAGTAGCATGATTTCATCGCAAGACTAATGTGCAATTATACCATATTATTTATTTTTAATATAATTAAATAACTTAAGTTTTGAGGTTCATTTTTCTTTTATTTCATTTTAGGTAATGTATATGATTTAGTAATTCCTTTTTTTCTAATTCTAATATTTTACACTTAATCTCTCTAAGCTGTAATTTGCTATTTCTTTTTTTAGTTATAATAATAAGACTTTGAATTTGTATAGTGCTTCACAGATTTCAAGGCAAGGTTTCCTGGGTTATTTGACTTGATCCTTACAACAACCATGTAAGTGAGTAGAGTAGATCTGGTCTCAATTTGGCTTCTAACTGCCCCAACATAAATGGCCTTAGATAAGCCACTTAACCTCTCTGTGCCTTGGTTTCCTTATTCTTGTTGAGCTATGAAGAGCTATAAATGTTAGTTGTTGTTGTCGCTGTTATCAGGTATTATTTTTATTATCAGGTATTATTATTCACTTCAGAGAGGAGGAAACTATAGGTCAGAAAATGAATATTCGTCCCCAAAGTCACACAGGAGATAAGCTTATCAGGTCTTCTGACTTCTTGTCAGAGAATATAAACAGTTTCCTGTTACAGATATAGAATAATACAGAAGCGGGTCTAGATTCACCACTTATATGGATATTAAGCTTCAGATAAGCCACCTCACCTCTTTGAGTCTCAAATTCCTCAGGGAAAACATGGGTAAAATGCCTACTCCAGTTATTGTAAGGACTAAACAAGCGCATATATAAAGCCCCAGCACACTGTCTGGCACACAGTATGCACTCGGTACATGCTAAGTTCCTCATCCCTCCTGATATTTCCACACTAGACATGTCATATTTTTCAATAACTTTTAAAGACATCCCTCTCCATAGCATAGCACAAACTAACTCAAATTTGAAATGCATAAGCAACAAGAGCGACCACACAGAGATATTACCCACCAATCAAATGCTGGAGTGGTCAACATCCTTTCCATTCTGGGAGTAGTAGAGGTGAAGCAAGAAAAGGAAGTAAATCAGCCAGGAACATGAGAAATCACCGTTTCTTATTTCTGCCTAGAAAGGGCAATGGGTCTTAGGGACTGGTGTTCATTGGCTAGTTTATCACCACTGATAATGTTGGACAAGTGATCAAACCATGTTTTAGGATTTAGGATGGCAAGGAGTTTCCTGAAAATCCTGATCCACCACCAGGAATTTTAATTTGATAAGCATTCCCACCAGAAACCCAAGGAAGATCTGTGGTATGTTTTCATCTCTACCAGGAGATTATGGGCCAGCTCTAGAACTCCCATTACCAATGGTATGCCAATCTATTCCAAGGCTATCAACACCAGTCCAGGTATGGGGAGCTTTTGGAGGTGCACATCAGTTTTAGTATTATAATATGGGAAAAAGGAGAGGCCTACTGTCCAGTGATCACCCAGAGAACCCTGAATATGCACATAGCATAAAATTGCAGCTGATCATCAAAGTAATGGTGAAAGAAAGAGAATTACTAGGTCATCAACTGTTAACATTATTTCTTTCCTTCACAGTCTTTACTCAAGAGCAAAGGCTCTTCCTCATCAAGAAGCATAAAGGCAACAGGCTACTAATCACATAACAAGCCTGGCCCTGCACTAGACTAATGTTCCTATCTGTGTCTCTACCAGATAACACCCTTGACATATCAAGACAGATGGCTTTTGAAATTTTCTGACAATGTTGATAACAGATTTTTTAACTGCCTACTCAAAAATATACTGCTTACATCTAAAAATAAATATGCATCTATGTAACAGTCATTGTTAACAAGAGATTGTATTTACCTTAAAGATATAAGACCACTAATTGAACAGGACTTGAAATTATAATGGGGGAATAAATCAAGGATGCTGCACTTCATAATAGTGTTAAGTATGGAGTAAATATTGAATTTTAAGGATGTAGCCTTTGAGTAAACCTCATTTTTCTAACACATCCAAATATAATATGTAAAACTCATCTGTCTGTTCCTTTTTCTCAAGAATGGATGAAACATCTATCATTCTTTGACCTCTCTTCCACTATCTGGAAGAAATGGAAACCACAACTTCTTGCCCTGCCCCCAATATTCTTTCCTTGGCTCATCACTCTTCACATGTTCTTGATTTTGTATTTCCTCATCACCTCTGGGGTCTTGCTCTACTTATCCTCATTTCTCCCACCTGTACCTTCTTCACCCTCTCCTTCTCCATTGATATTGGTTCCTTCCCATAATTCTCTAAATATGTTTAAGTTTCTTTCACTTTAAAAAAGCTTCCTTCCATATTTGTCACCTTGCATTCTGACTTGCTTCCTTTCTTCCTCCCTCAATATAAAAACTCTCTGCAAGATCAAATGTACATTTACTCCCTTTATTTATTTTACTACATCCCATTTACTCTCCAACCCCTCACAGTTTGGCTTCCCACAATGACCACCACCATAAACAAAAAGCATAACTCTCCCTAAGGTCACTAATTACCGCTTAACTGACAAATCCAACAGCCACTTTCCAGTCCTGACCTTTCCTGAACTCTCTGACAGATGTAACTAGCAAATCCCTCCTCCATAAATCCCTTATTCCTTTGGTTCTATTAAATGATTCTCTCTGGGTTCTCTTCCTACCTCTCTAATCATTCACTCCTTTTTAGTTTACTTTCTTGACCTCAGCTTTTACTACCTATAGGGTGTCCAAAAAAATGTGTACACATACTTTGAATAATAATAAAGGCAGTGTTTATTAAAATACATTTCATTTTCAAAATTGAGCTATCACCTATTAAAGTGTGTATACATATTTGGAGGGACACCCTGTATTTTACCCCTTAAGTGTTGCTACTCCCCACGATTCTCTTTTTGTTCTTACTCAGTAATCTTACTCAGTGATAATATTCATTCTCACAGCTTCCATTGCCACCTACATGATAACACCTAACTCTCTCTCTCTCTTAACCACTCTCATTAGTTCCAGATCCATATATCCAATGCCTACTGGATATTTCTCCCTTAATATCCAACTGGCATCTCAATCCAAGTTGCTCAAAACAGAATTTTTTTTTTTTTCTCTACAAGCACAAACCCTATTGTCCTCCTGAACAGCCTGTTAATACCACCATTGTCTCAAGTCAAATATCACACTTCCCACATCCAAACAGACACCAAGTCCCATCATTTGAACTTCCTTGCTGTACCTTCAATCCTGCCTACCATCAACTCCCATTAGCTTCTTTATCTGCCTCTAGTTTACCTCCCTATCAACCCATTCTACACATTTTCAACATTATCTTTTAAAATTATTTGTCCCAGCTATGCCCTAACTTGAAAACTTGCAATAACTTCTCTTCATGTACAGAATCATGTCCAAACTCCTTCATATGAGGTACAATGTCTTCACTAATCATATCTCTAAATATACACATTCAAAGGTAGTATAAAAATTAAATCATTTGAGATAGAAAAAAATGCTTTTTAAAAATTATACTATTACTGACAAATTAAAAACTACTAATTTAGGTGACTTAAGTATCTTTGTCAGAATTAACCAAACTTGAAGGACACCTGAGCATCTCAACCAAGGCAGCAAGAATCTGGTTTCACTAGTCATCAAAATCCAAATAGCTTACACTCTACCCAAAAGTAGTACTTGTGCCTATGCAGTCTTTATTAAGAACTGTCCTTTTCCAGAAGTCACTGTCCCCTAAATAGTGCTCTTTTAAAATAAAAACTCTTGAAAACATTCTCTATTTTTTGTTTTACCTCTTACATCATCTTTGTTTTGTTACAGAAAATTACACTGCTGCTAAATTTCAATAAAAAACAACCAGCTGCCAGCAATTTAAAAAGATTCTCTCCCTAACCTCCACCCCAAATAGAAAGTTCAGAGGCAGTCATTGTGAAATCAATACTTAGACATAACAATGTGATCATTATTGGGGCTATATACTAGCCAGAATACCACTAGAAAATCAACCTAGCTACACGAACCCCTCTAGTTGAGGAACTCTCCAAAACCATGATTATTAACCACCAGAAAAAATAATTGCCTTTTCCATTTCTCCTAGAACAGTGATTTTCAAAGACCACTCAAACTACTGAACAGCTGCTAACAACCTAAAATGAAAAAAGAAAGCATTTATTGGGAGGAGAACTAAACATATCCATTGACATTCTGAAGAAGCCTTCAGGGGCTGCCTTTCTGATAATTAAAGTGGGAGAAAGTGTCAAGACTTCCTCACAAACTTGCAATTGCCCCAGATACAGTGTATATACTTCATTTGTAAAATATATTCTCCTGGAAATGATTTGGGTGCTTTAAAAAAAGATTAAATGTTGATTATTGCATTCAAAAATGTAACAAGCAACCATTTTCCAGAAAGGTAAATTACATACATATTCAGCTACCTTGTAGGGCTCCCCAAAAAGATCAAAGCCTGAAGAAAAGAGATCATCTTCTTGCTGAACTTCTTGATTTCTCCGCTCCCATTCCCTTTTTTTGAGTGCAGTACGGTCTTGTTCATAGTGACTAATATGAAAAGAAAAAGACAAAAGGAGAAACAGATTAATTAGTCATGTAAGTCATTTACGTCTCCCTTATTATCACTAAGAAAAAAAAATACAAGTCAAGGCTACCAAACTGATACTACAGAGAGAGCAGAGAATCTTTTTTCTTTACTCCCATTAGGTTTAAGGTCCTGACCAGTTCTTCAGAATAGAGGAGAAAACAGAAACTCACTTATTAGAAATTGTACTTATGACCACTTAAGTATGCCAGAATCCTCTTCCCTTGTCCTTGCTTGATTACTACAGGCAACTACAGACTTCCCAAAAATCAGTACACTGTGCAGAAAGGCACTGAATTCAAGTTACATTGTGTTGCCAACTGCCTAGGGCTCAGAATTTACACATGTCACAAAACCCTAAGGGAAAGAAATTACCAAATACATTGTTGCAGATAAACTAGAATTCTATCCTGAGCTGATACCCACAGGTATCCTGTTGTAATGAAATCATAGGAGAACCTAAGGACATTTTTGGAAGTCCATAAAAAAGCAAATCACTCAATCACTGTCACTCCTTTTTGTTACTGTTGTTTTTGCCTTCCCATAGTTTGCATCTTAGGTGACTGAAAGCCTTTTGGGAAAACTTTTCACAAAGAAAGTGTTCTGGCATGAACAAGAAACTGCTAACAATGAAAAAATGTGTCAAAACCCATGAATGACTAACACACAAATGTGTTTTACTCTGTGAAGTTCATCACATTTCAGTCTTTCCCATTGGAGGATCAGTAAAAAAGGTTCCAGAGAATATCTAAGATATATTCTGGGGCCTTGGATTTTATAGAATGAAATGCTTTCATGTTAAGAAAATAATTATTTTCTCTATCATGCAAGACTGTAAATATTAAACTATAATCTTTAAGTCTTATAGCAGTGGATTTTATTTTGTCCATTCCCTACCTCCCCCCCCCCCC